CCTCCCACGACTATAGGCAAAGCTTACAAATTTTCTAGATATTTTGCAATCTAAAGTGGTAATTTTAAAGAATGGAGAAAATCTTTCAGTTTATATACTAATTTTGGTTGTTTGTATTTTTACCTAAATGTATTGAGTTTTTTCATCTGTATTTTTTACAGCTTGGCATAAGCTGGGTGGAAGAAATAATATGTTCCAGATCCAGTAAGATCCTAAAGACAGTAGAACAGTTTTTTTTAATAACTGAAATGTAAACCACCAGTACTGTATGTTCAGTATTACAATAAATGTTTTTGTTTTTCTGTTATTAATATATGTTCTTTTATATTCATTCTTACTACTATCTAAAATAAATATATTTCATCACAAACATTCAAGTATCTAAAAGTTGGTTAAGATTTGAGTTGTACTAAGGGTTGAGAGATTAAGATCCTATGGTTCTTATTTAGAAATGCTTGCAGAGTGACATGTAGTTGATTTGTAAATATAAGAGTATTGATTAAATATGCTTCAAAAATTAATGTTTTTGAAGACAATTTTTGTATTTTATTCACACAAAAATGTCAAATTTAAAGGGTTAATACCTGCACTCTCCTATGGATGGTCTACCACCACCATGTCATTGACTATTTTGAGTAAAGGGCAGCTCAAGTACCATATATATAATTTACAGACCACCAATACAAGACGTCCAGTCTTGTTTTTCAATTTGCCCATGTCGTTGGTTACTTACGAGGGGTGAAATTCCTTAAAAGTGGTCAAACTCAGTGACATGTAAGGAATCAAATGATAATCTGGGCTTCATTTTTCCTTCAAAAATCTAATCCGTTGATAAGTGGAACAATTGCATTGTTTCAACATATGAAATATTTAATTAATAGCAGTGTCACATATACTTAAAAATTATAAACAGCTATAATGGAATTGAAAAAATAACACCATATAACAAAATTACATTTCATCACAAGTACCATGGCTTATATGTTGTAATGTTTTAAGTGAACGTGATGTGATGTATTACATTTAGGAGCATTCCTTTAACAAGTTAAGAGCAAAATAAGAGAATAATGGGACAAGAAATAAGATGTGAGGAGGTAAATTAAATGTATGTCATGACTGCAGAAATGTTTTCTTTCTTTGATAAAGAAGGAGTTAAAAGGTCATGCATCACTCTAAAAAGACTTGTAATGTTGAATTTCTCCCATATTATCTTAACATTATGCACGTGAATAATGGTTCTTGTTATTTGTAGACTTTTATCACAGTTTAAATTTAAATTAGTTGATGAATTACAGTAGCAAGTTCTCATTTAATATCATCATTGTTCAAATATACATTTTTTCAATTTTTTATTACAAAAATACCATTAATAATTTTCTACAAACATACATTTTCTACTGGTATTCTTAAAAATTTTACTTTTGTTCACATAATTGCAAAACAAAGGTGCCATATGGATCCAAAAACCAATTTTTATTAGGGAAAACTGTAACACAAAAAAAAATGTATAACAAGCAATAACTGTAGATGTTCTTCACAATTTCCAGCTGAGTAGTAAAATAACTTGAAACATATATGTATATAATTTTTGTTGATATTTGCTTGTAATTACATCTTATTAAAGATGATTTTAACTGAGAACATCCAGTAGAAGTGACGGTCTGACATAAGTAAACCTTAAGTATACATAATATGTTTATGTATCTCATTTAATAAAGATTGTTCATTTTGTTTTACACTTGTCCAGTCATTATTCTGTTTAATGTCAACTCAGTTAAGTAATGGTTCTAGCATCACTCCATAATCAATACCTTAATTGAATTTCTAACTCTCAAGTGGACCTATCTGATATAGCTTTACAGTTAATTCACTTCAATACACCACAACTCCTCAGTCTGATGGCCATAATTGTGTACTAAGTCTTACAGTACAATGCTCATTGTAACAAGTTATATAAAGGACAGCAATACTATACCTTTGATATGCATTCCATAAACCCTCTGTTGTTTGTGGATGTCACCAACAAGGATTACCTTTAAGCAAGACAAAAGTTCACTGGAGCTTCGTCAGGTGCTGTGATTTCAGTTTCTTTGACAATGTTTTTCATGAAAACAATTTATTTCAAAATGTGGCTGCTAATTTCATGAAGTTTGGGCCTTTAAGTCTTTTTTTTTTAATATTTCAATTTTTTATTTGTTCTACTGCTATTCCACTTTCATGGTTCTCATGGTAACTTTAGCCTTTAGTTTGACATGAGAACCTTGATCCTTATTAGCTTAGTGTGGTTTTGAAGCCTATTGCTATCCTAAATGCTCTACTGTGCAAGTTTTTCCACTTGTAAGGAAAACATGGAAGGCTTTTTTCTTTAAAATTTTGTGTCCTTTGGCTCTACATCACCAAACAATCTTGCAGTGTATTTTTTTAAAGCATTTTATAAATATATCTGTCCAGTCATAAGTGTATCTGTATCAGAATTGCACTGTTAAATGGTCTGGGATTTGCAAAGACCAAATATGTAAATGCTAAGCATATTGCTCATGGGACCACAGCTCAAATATGTGGCAATACACAAGTGTATTAGCATATACAAATAATTAAACAAAGTATGATTTACCCTCTGTATGTAAAAACAAGCTTTCACACGAGACTAATGGCATGATCGATAGATAAAATGTTTTCTCCTAAACAAATAACCAGACAGCTAAATAACAGAATGAATTAGAAAAGGTTTATGTGGGATCAATTCAGTGTCCAAAAAAACTAGCATAGGAAGAAAATGTGTAATTTCTAATACATACACTAACAAAAACGTGTATGTTAGTAAATTCACATTAAATGGACAATCAAACTAAAGCCCAGGCAAAGTTAAGCAGATGGAACAGTGTCAAGAAGTAACATTCTCATTATACTAATTTTAAACAAATTCGTTTATTGCAAATTACCATAAAAACAATAAAATGCAACTTACAATTTCTAACCCCTATTTCCTGAATGTAGTTATTAGCTGAGAGCAATGACAACCCTGATGTTAAGTGTTAAAGACTTTTATTTTTCAACAATGCCACTAAAATTAAAGTCATGATTTGATCAACAGGTTTATTGAGTATGGATGTAAAAGTCTGTTTTCAAATCTAATCTGGACACAGGCCTCCCAATCCATTTTTTAAGAAAACAATAAGCTTTATATTTATCTTTTACTCACTGCAGTGAACCTATATTCACATAAAATTTGAAGAATGTGCAGCATTAATTCTACTAATATATTAAAGGGCTTGTGGTGGTTACATTTTGTATAGCCTTTCACCTATATTTTTTTAAATTGAAAATTGGTGTATTTAAAAATCATTAAATTATTTTGTGCAAGGTTGTTTTAATGGGGAGGAAAAAAAGAAGCCTTTTAAATCCTGAAACCTAAGTTTAATTACCCCATTATAATATTAAGAAAATACATAATACCATGTAAGGTGGCTTAAAATAAGGTTTAAATCCACAATAATGGAACAGTACCACATTTATGTGGATGCTAGTTTCAACCTTTCCATATGTTCTCTTCTATCCAACATTTGTTTGTGAGAGAAATAAATACATTGTTTATTTTATCATGGAAATTCCGATTTGCACATGATGTAAAGGGGTTCAGCTTAAAGTGACCTTCAGATTTTCTTGAAATTTGGCAATCTATGGATTAACAAACTTTCTACAATTCTTCTTCTGATATAATTTCTAGTTTTATGTATTTTTTGGCTGATTTCCACTTGATTCTATAACCAAGATCCATTATGTGTAGAAAAGCAGCATTATTTAATTGTCCATTTTAAACATCCTTATTATGTTCTGCATGATTAGCAGGGGACTATATAGACCCCTTGTTCTTTACTTTGAGGTAAAAATTTGTTTGAGGGTAGGAAATTTTAATGGTGTTGAGATATTTAGAAACAACCTTGAAATTGTTATTTTTCAGGCATTTCTCTAAATCCAAAATATTATAATTGTGGTTGGTACAAAGAAATTTTTTACTATTTATTATTTTCATATGTAGATGATGCTGTTTACTGGTCCTATTGTATCTTTTTATTTCTTCATCAAGGGTCGTAAGTTTTTAAAAACATTGATGTTTTAGCCGTTTTACGGTGGATAAAAAGTAGACAGCTTAAGCTCAAAGGGTTTGTTTATTTTCTATATATAAAAAGAACAGGTCCTGTTTCTGCTCCAGTTATGATAATGTATAAACATGGGAGCAAATTATTGGTTTTTCCATTAAACTTGTTAATCTCCTGGAAAAAAACTTTAAAATCATTTTTTTATTTGGCAAAACAGAAAGTATGTTATTAACATGTCAGAACCAGGGGATTTTCTTTATATTCAGATCCATTGAAGGAAGTAATACACTTTCCAAATACTTCATGAAGATGCTACATAGAATTAGGGTTAAAGGTTAGCCAATAGCTATTCAATATTTTTGTCTGTAGTATTGTCCCATGCATGTAAATAAATATATTAACTTCAATACACATTTCCACTGGAGAGATATGTGTAAACTAGCACAGGTAGCAGAATGTTAAAATTCAGGTTCATGGGATATTAAACAAAGAATCAACGTCAAATTGACCATCTTTCTTTCATTTATTTTTTATTGGGGAAACCTATATTAGTCACAATATAAGAGGACGAGAACTTTCATAATGCAGGAGATGTTGTGCTAGCTATATGGATAACGGACAAGGCTTAAGCAATTGATCCGATCAAAGATTTTTACGAGATCCGAATAATCAGCTAGAATTTTCCGCAGAAATTTGTTAACATCCGAAAGTGAGTTACTTCTAACGGTTGGAGGCGGCTTGAATGGGTAATGAAGAAAAACTTTAACATAAGATTAACATAACAGCAAATGCACAACGCTTCGACAAGGTTTTGTCATCATCAAGTACAGAGACTGATGACAAAACCTAGTCAAAACGTTGTACATTTGCTGTTATGTTAAT